GTCTCACTGTATAATCTAATTCTAACTACATGTATTTGTTTACGGTATTTTTGGAGGCAATTAATTGATTGTATACTTATTTATGTATTTGAACTGAGAGAGCTTCCTGGAGGGGAAGCGAAACGTCTTCAAATCTTGGAAACCAAGTCCAGTGGATTGTTTTTTTTATTTTTTTAAACTTTTACGGAAAAAGTATTGAGTATTTATTTATTTATGTAATTATTTTTAAATATGGTAGAGTTGGTCCTCCATAAGATTTAAGTCGTTCGCTATTTGAATATGGAAGCATAATGTTTGTGGAGCTCAACACTAATAGAGATGCTACTCTAAAGCCTTAAACTTATAAACACATTTTAAAAAAGTAGATTAATTCATTCCCTACCAAACCACTTTAAAATTAAATAACTTAAAGTACGTTTAAAGTTTATAGCCATTGATGAAGCCAAACTATAACTTAAGGATGTTTTTGTAAATGCAAACTTTGAAGATTATGGCGGTTCTATAGAGGGTCCAACAGGGGCCAATGGCCCCATAGAACTGGAGGCACTGAAAACATACACTACAAAGCTGTAATTTCTTATGAAATAAGTGAATTTTCCTTTGATTTAAGCAAGTCAGTTAGACAATTTGCCAATGGGATAAGATGATCTACATTTGAAATAATAAAAAAAAAAACTTCATTAACTTATTTCAAGGGCATAGTACCATATTATGTTTTTTTTAAGAGCAGAAATACTTTTGCATTTGGCAGATCATCATAATTACCAGCTTGAATTAGGTGTGATTATTACATCAGCAAAAAAAACAACACTGCATAGAGTTAAATTTACTTAATATGGCTTAAAAATTTAATGTCTGTTTATTTACTTCCTACCAAATCCAATAAATAATTTTTTTCTCTCTTAATTTTAGTAATAATAATACAACTGCCATATACCACTTGAAAAAAAGTTTGTTTTTCAAATCCTCCCTTTTGGGATGTGACCTCATAGCTATAGTGGAGGATTTTCATGAATTTTCAAAAAGACCCGCCCTCTCCACTTTACATAAAAATGCACATGCACAACCCTGTACCTGCTCCTGAGAAGGAATACCTATTAAACCTATGCGAGAGCCCATTTCTCCTCGTGCATGCTCTGTTTAAAAGTTACTGTTTGCATCGTTCATTTAAGCTTACATTCCAAAAGGAGATTTGCAATTTTTTCCACTATGTCAAACTCACCACCGGTAAGTGAAAATGGGAACGAGCACATAGGACGTCCTTACATAAACATTATCGGATAGTTTAAAGGTCATTGCTGGAAGAGAAACTGTTAAATTGAAAATTATTTAAGAGCGATAGGAAGGTTCACCCTTCTGCAGGACAATGACCCTAAACATACGGTTTTAATGGAGTGGTTTACGTCAAACCTTGTTTATTTATTAGAATGGACAGGTTAAACTCCAAAGCTAAGTCCTTCAGACAAAACAGTATCTGGAAAGAATTCAAATCTGATTATCACGGCCCTAAAATTCAGTCTACAGATATGACAAAATGGCAGGGACATACCTTGGAAGACTTCAGCTGCAACAAAAAGTGATAATGAAAAGTTCTAATTCAGGATAAAAACAATTGATCATTTTAATATTTTACAATCTTGCATGCAAACTTCCATTCAAATTCATTATAATCAGTGGTTATAATGGATGAAATTGGAAAACAAATTCAAGGGATATGAATAATTTTGTCTATTTCCTATAAAAAAAAGTGAAAAATATATTAATCTTTCAGCATAAACACAAAAAGAACAACCTGTCCTCATCATCTATGTGTCATCGAGATGAACAGCTACTCAGTAATAAGCAGCTACAGATCTGTTGACAGGTTTATAGTCACAACATGGTTTGGAAAATATATAATTATAAGCCTATCCCTGTCCTTACGTCTTATTTCCCTCTTAGATAAAAAGTCAAACTCTCACATGACATACTCCTCTCTTAATCAATGTTGCAACATCTGAACAATTCCTGATATTTTTTTTTATAAAACTTTTAGTAAAAGATTAAAAAAAAAGGTTTCTTTTATAATAAAAATAAACTTTATAGAAATGTAACATTTTGTTTTGTTTTTTTATAAACATCTGCAGTGAGATGTAGAAATCACACAGACTGAACTGACCCAGCTACGTTTGTCGCTAGTTTAAGGACATAAATGATTAACATGCTTGTGTAGAAAACCAAATACCTGAATATATGTGCATGTTAATAGGTTACAATGCCAGAAAAATAAGTGACATACAGATAAGCAGAACACATGTAACCCCTCAGAAAAGAATCAGCAGCCAGGTGTTTTTCAGGTGCTGTTATAATAAATTCATAATTGTTTCACCAGTCGTACAAGAAATGAGATTTGTTTTCACATTGTAAATGTATTAACTGTTTGTAGGTTGTCGATAAGTGTGTATTTTAACATGCAAAGCACTTGGCAACTGATTGTATTGATTGATTCATCATCTTATTATTGTGTGTAAAACAAGGAGCCCAATCCAGCAACGTTGCTCAAAGGCCTCTTTGGCATATTTTTTAACTCTATGAAAGTTAAAGTCATGGATTAGAAGTTCATAGAAACTCAGATGAATTGATATATCAGAAAAAAAGCCTCACCTGCTTTTGTTTTAACGGGGCATTTAAGGTTTCCACTTCCTGGATCAACAGTGACTTTGTTAGAAACAATACATTCTTTTCACCACTGATAAAATACTTCTATATTAAATATCTGATTTAATTTCTTTTTTTTTCAGTGAGGCTGGCCTATTAGAGTTATATTGTTTGTACATTTTGTCTGGGGGTGGAGGGGAAAGCAGTTTAATCCGGTAATCATAACAGTTCCTACCACAGTCCTCCCATTTGCTCCTGAGGCGGCTCCAACCGGCAGGACAAAAGGGACACTGTGACCAAATCAACCAAAAAACAGAAGGAAGGGTGTTCTGCTGATTCATGACTGAGTCATTATGGGGGCTTTTCACACGCCAAGTGACTCAGAAATGCTTCAGGATGCATTTTTCCATTTCCTTTCAGTTTACGGCTGTAGATGACAGTACAAACAATAGAGCCAAAGGGGCCTTGAGTCGTGTGGGAAGGGTTTGTTTAACTTGGAAGCTACTTGATATCTGAAAAGCAAGGGAGACAAATTGAAATGCTAGTATTATACAATGACTGTAACAGCTGCCAAAAAAACCTTTACGGTCATAGTCCACATTGAGTTTACTACAGCTCATTTTATGATCCATTAGCAATAAAATGTTATTGGCTTTCCCTTCAGAATATAAGTCTTAATAACCTGAGCTCATTCATTACATTAAATAGATATGATCACAGTACATAAATAATTAGATTTAAAAACAGTGAATCTCTTAAAACTCTATTCAAGGTCTCGGAAACGTAGAACAAGATCCTCATAGAAATGTCAGACTAGTGAAAGGCATGTCATGTTCTGCACATAATGCACTCAGACCTCCTTTTGCATGGGTAATGGCCTAGTATTAGTGGGTCAGGGCAGCACAGCATGGAGGAGATCAGTCTGTAGGCCTGCTGAGAGGTTATGGACACAGGCCTCTGTAGAATCTGAAGTAGCAAGACAACTTTAGATTCAATT